AGTCAGGGTGGAGGGAAAAAAAGAGAATGGGCCCTTCCCTCCCACGGGAGGGAAATAGCTGCCCCAGGACCCCTGGGTTGGTTGGGTCCACCGACGAGAGGGGAGGGAATGGGGAGGTCAGCTCTGCTCCACTCTGCCCCTAGAAGTAGGTTGGCTGCCTCAAAGGGAGGCAGCGGTCTTAATTAGGAGATGATGCTGTGGTGACTCAGCCTCCCAAAGGTGCCTTTCCTTATTCCATTTTCCATCATAAAACTCTAGCTTTGGAACTGAGCCAGGATCCCTGGTGGTATTGGGGGGGGGGCGGTAGTTGTGGCTTGGGCGTCCATATTACATTAGCTCTCCACGCCATTCTCACTGAAGCAGGGAGGAGGGAAGCCAGCTGGTGCCCACCTCCGAGCTCTCCTAAGTGTGGTACTGGGTCACAGCTCTTTGGCCCCTCTCACTAGGAACTCTCCTGGCAAAAGAGGCCTGGGAAGCCTTCCTGGAGAGGTAGGTGCTTGGTGCCAACTGTGTGTTAGGAATCCTAGCGCCCAACCTGTCTGCAGCGGCCCCAGCTAAACCTAGCAGAAGGGGGCATAAGAAGGCAGGAGGGGGGTTGAGGCATCTGGAGGCAAAGCAGGCAAATGCTTCAGCTTTGTGACCACCAGATCCTCAGACCACCTTGAGATACCCTAGGGCATCTTTCTTGTCATCCTGTATGAGAAGGTGGGTAGTCTGGGGGAAAAATACTAGATCTGGCATCATGTTTCAGCTCTACTCCTTACTAGCTATTAATTTCATGAACCTCAGTTTCCTCATCTGAAATATGGGGATAGTGATACTTAAATTATCAGTCTTGTAGGGTATTTTGCAAGCGGTGAAGGTACACATTAATACAGGATGAGTGCCCCACCCCCACCCCATCCCCCCTAAGGAAGCCAGGTGTGGCTGGTCACTGTTCTATTACTGTCTCTCACCAGTCAGGTAAGGTTGGCACACAGGCACTGAAGGGGGTGAAGATGGCAACACGTATGCATAATCCCAGGCCTTCAGACACCACCTGCACTGGCTGGTGCTGATGACAGCCCTGGCATCTCACTACCTGCCCACCATGTACACGGCTCCTGGGAAATGTCCCTGCAAGAAACAGGATGGGGGGAATTTCCTGCCACTGTGAATTTCCCACCTCTCTTCTGCCTTCCTGTCCTTTCCCACCTAAAGACTAAACCGAGGTATTCAGCAAGCAAACAGATTGAGGGAAAGTACCATAGAACTGAAGATTCTCACTGCTACCTGGGTGACCTTGGGCCTCAGTTTTCTCATCTGTCAAATGGAGGGAAGGAGGAGTTGACTTAGGTGATCCGTGGGGGGTGTTTCCCTCTCTCTAGTCCCTATGAATGGAGGTCTTGGATGGCTTGCCTCAGTGACAGATGATCAAGTCCAGCTCAGCTGGCACCAATCCCTTCCAGTGCTAAACTTCTGATTTTCTGATTCCCGAGATTGACTCATAACACCCACCTTGGCTGGAACAAAATGATGTCAACCTCTGGGCGGGCCCTCTTCTTCCTTCTCTTACTATCTCTCCTTGTCTTATGACTTGCTGTTTTCCTTTGACATTTCCCCCTACTCCCTACCAGTCCGTGTTTGGCTGGAGCCCACCCTGGGTCTCTCGGGGACCTGCTCTGGCCGAAGCTTCGGGGCCCACTGCACAGACATGGGCATTGCCACAGAAACCCTGGGTTATGATTCTGTGTTCCTGCACTACTAGAATAGAAACCCTTCCTAACCTCTGCCCATCCCCTCCTCTCAAGTTCCCTGAGGGGCGGTAACAGAAACCCCGACAACCTGTGTGTTTCTTTGGATTCTGGTGCGTGTTCTGCTCCAGGTTTGTCTAGAGCCTAGAAACAAGACCTTTGGAGGCCCAATCCAAGCAATCGGCTGCCCCAACTGAACAATGGCTTTACCTATGTTTGAAAGCTTACTCCCTCTCCCCCTCCTTCCTTGCTAGTTCCCTCCCCCAAGGGAAATCAGTCTAAAAGGGCCTAATGGAACCATGTCCTCCTCTCTTCCTCTCTCCCTTCTTTCTCTCTCTCTCTCCTTTTTTTATTAGCATTTGTGGAATTTATTCCCAAACTCTCCTAATCTTCCGTACACAACCATTTGATTTGCATAACCCAACCCCCTCTCATAAAAACTGGCTGCTAGTTTAATTAAAAAATGTAAATTTGCTGTCATCTCGGGGCCTGGTGAATTAGGACGACATCGGCATTTTTTATTGCTCAAGACGTCCAGATTGATCCAGCCCTTTCCTGAACTGTGGTGGGGGGAAAGGGTCCACATGGTCTTGAACAGTGGGGGAGTCTTGTTCAACTTATCTAGAGAAGCCTTACTCCTGTCTCTCTCTCCCCAGTCCTGCAGGAAACCCAAGACAAGGGTGAGGCCCATGTCCTTCTAAGCCTGGAAGGTTGGGGTACTGGATGGAAGGTCCCTTCTGGCCCCCTCCTTTTGTGATTTGAGAAAGATTAAGTTCCCATTTAAAGCAACAATCCTTAGAAAACAGTCAGTGAAGTCCACCGATGAAGATACTAATGAAAGCTGTTAAGATGGCACCAGCCCTAGCCTCAAGACGCTTACACTCTACCCAGCCAAAGCTCCCACCCCCAGCAGAAACAACTTGTCTTTGACAACGCAGCCGAGGTCGGCTAATTGGGTGACCTCTGCTACATCCTAAAAGTGAGTCGGGGAAAAATGAGACTGACCCAGAAGGCATCTCAGAGGATGCAACCTCTTTTGTTGCTTTCATTTAAGAGAGAAAAGAAATGTTTGGGGTTTTTTCTTTCCTATTCTAGAGGAGTGAATTTAAAGGGAGACTTCTGAATCTGAAGGAGAGGCAGAGGTGGCCTAACCAGCTGGCTCTCCTCTGGGGGCCGGCTAGAACCCTGGCACTTTAGGCCTCCCCAACAGAGTGGCTGGAGGCCAGTATCGGGTCCGCCAGGAGGGCCCTGCTCCAGCTAAGAGAGGGCTGAGGTGACCTCAGAGGCCCTTCCTAACTTCGAGGAAAAGTTTCCACCGCCTGCCCCCCTGGAGTAAAGGGCGGAGTGATTCATTCTGGGACAACGGGGAGTGAGATGCCCCTGCCCCTACCCCTCCGCTGGGCTGCCTAGGAAGCTTCTCTTCCTCCTTTCCCAAGCCAGCCCTCCTTCTAGGATAGGGTCATGGAGTTCCTCTCCCCACCCAGGGGAGTCTCCCTCATGACAGACATTGAGGGACTGGCCTCCATCAGGGTTGGGGCAGCAGCCCCAGCTGGCACCCAGGTGGGGTGGGGGGAGGAGGAGGAAAGCCCTGCCTGGCCTGGTGAATAATTCCTGGCTGCCCCACGTGCCCGCCTGCCTGCGTGTGGGAGCCTGCACCAGGTAGGCAGGGCTGGATGTCAGCCCCTTGGCCGGGCTGGGTGGGGGCCCATTTCCGAAGAAAGGGGGTGGGGCAGAAGGGAACAGATCAAACACCTGATTAGGGTTTGGAGGCAGGCTGGGTCCCCGTGGGAGGACTGAGGCAGGGAAGACAGGCCAGGCGAGATGGCTAGAGGCTCTGGACACTTTCGCCAAGCTCTGCCCAGTAGGGGGTGCTGCCTTCTTCCCTCCATGAGGCCCTGGGGCACCTTGATACCAAGTAAAGATCGTACGTCACAGGGGGTGGGGACAACTTTTAAACTCTTTAAATGTTACCCCCCCCATAGCCATCCCACTTTATACACACTCCACCCCACCCACAATACTCTGACCCTACAGAGGTCGTACATTATGAGCCCTGGGTAACAAGACCAGAATCCCCTGGATGAATAAATCTTTTGATTCGGGGTCTATTAAAGATACATACATACATACTTACATACATACATACATACATACATACACACACATACACATATATATGTCCATACATAAATATATCCTTTACACATATGTACAAACCACAAATATTACATAAACACACTCATATATCCTTTTCCAAAATGAAACAGAAGAGTTCAAAGGTCAGGCCACAACAATATCTACCTGTTTATTACACTCTTTTTTTTTAAAAAAAATTGAAATTATGTATAAAGGAAGGAGACCAGTTGTTTTCCCCCTAAGGTCTGAAGGGCTAGGCCAAGCTTGAGCACCAGTGGTGACCAGGGGTGACCAGGGGTAGAGGCAAACCCCAACCCCAACCCTAGCCATGGCCTATCCCCAGGTGGGAGTTGCTGATAAATACTGAATTAAATTAAAACCGAAATCCCAGGGCAAATTTTGCCCCTGGCAGCCACTGGTCTCAACCTGAACCTAGAGTCAGAGGTCCATCTGAGGCTTAGGCCTGGTCTTCCGGCAGGAAGGGTGGAAAAATTGGGTGGTGCGGAGATATGTTCCTGGGCACCTCACTTTGAACTGATAACAGCCTCTTGCCATCCCACGGATTCTCAGGTGAAAAATACTCATTAGCCATAATAACTAGCTTGATCATCCGACACAGCCTTGTCCCAAATAAATTAAATTCCTTTACTCTGAGACAGTCTCCCGAAACCAGCCCAACCACCTTACCCAACAGGACGCTTCTTTCAAAAAGTCAACCACCCCCCGCTGAAAAAATAAAAACACACACCCCATGAGTGAGGCACAGAGAAAAAAAAAACCAGAAAGAAAAACATTCACACAACAGGATTTTTAGAAAACCCCACGAAAAAACCCAAACTCTTCTCAATGGGTGCCTCCAGGTCTCTCTTCCCTACTTCTTTCATAATGACAAGCATCAAATTAGTCAGAGTTCCCGAAGAGGTAATAAATAATAATAATTCTCTGAAGCCGGAGAAGGCGAGTGTGTGAAAGGAGCCGCAGACCCTCTCCCAGCCGGCTGCCCCCCTCCCCGCCCCCTCTTCTCAGCTGCCACCTCATTGGGCTAAAAATAATAACTTCCGTAAAAGAACCGAAAGAAAAGTGAAAGTCTCTCCCCCCACTCCTCCCCTCCGGGTTCCCACGGGCCAGTACCTGTACCAAGATCCATGCTCCTCTCTTTGGTCCCAAACTCTTCAGGGAACGCCCAGAAAAAGAAAATAAAAATAAAGTCTGTTCAGTGTCATTTCTTGAAGTTCACCCCCCCACCTTGGTTCCCCTGCCCCATTTCTTCTCCTGCTCCATTCCCCCTTCCCCAACCTCCCCTCCCGACTGTCCCACCCCTACCGAAAGATAAATCTCTGGGGGGCTGGGGGAGAAGGAGGGAGACGGCGAGGGTGAAAGAGAAGGAGAAAAGTTTCTTTCCTTCTCTCTGGTTCACACACCCCGACATTGCAAACGTGAAGCTCTGCTCAGCTGTGCTGGCGAGTTTATTAAAGTAAAAGAGAAACTATTTATAGATAGACAATCCTAGTCTTTTGGGGGCCGGGAGGGCAGGGAGAAGGACGGAGAGAGGCGCGCGCGCGCACACACACTCACACGCGCGCCCTGCGCGCGCGCACGCACAACACACACACACACACACACACACACACACACACACAGAGTCCGACGGACCCAGGCGGGGCTGGACCCCAGATCTCGCACCGACCCTCCAGCCCCAAGCCAGGCCCCCTCCCCGCTTCTCCCCCTCCGCCCCCGCCAAGTCAAGTCAAAGGACGAAATCGAAGCATCCGCAGCAGCCCCAAACCCCCTCCCCCCGGCGCCCCCCACCCCACTCTCTCGTACTCACCATAGTCGGAGAGTCGAAAGCCGAATTCACTTAAATAATCAACTTTCATAATACTTAATTAATGCCTAATTGCAACTGATTACTCCCCGAATAACAAGTTGTTTTAAAACCCTGATGTCATTGCGCCTGACGGTAACACTCGGGCTAACAGTTTGGCAGGAGGGAGTGGAGCTGGGGAGGAGGAGGAGGAGGAGGAGGGGAGGGGGGAGAGGGAGGAGGAAGAGGAGGAGGAGGAGGGCAGGGAGGGGGGCGCCGGGGGCGCTGCCAGGAGAGGAGATGATTGGCAGGACCAGCCTTGGCGCCGCCTCCTCCCTGCCTTGCCCAGCGCCGGCCCAGGGGCAGGTGAAAGATCAGAGGCTCGCAGGCTCCGGCCGGGCCCGGGCTCGCTCGGGCTCTCTCTGCGCTCCCTCTTCTCTCTCTCTCCGGTCTCTCGCTCCTGGATCACCGCCTCCAAGAGATGCTGAAAGTGAATGAGCTTCGGAGCTCTCGGCGCAAGCAAACACACACACACACACACACACACGCACACACACGCACAACACCAACAGACGCGCGCGCACACACACGCGCACACACACACGCACACACGCAACACAGACAGACAGACAGACAGACAGACCACACACACACACACAACACACACACACACACACACACACACACACACACTCTCCCAGCCCCGGACCGCCCTATCAGGGCCCGCTCGCAGGCGGCTAGTCTTATTGGCTCCGTGATTTCCCAAACCTTTGACTCCAGGAGAAGGGAGGCGGAGACTCCTCACCCGGAGCACTGGAGAGCGAGCAGAGGCGGGAGGCGCAAAGAAAGCCCAGCCCGAGGGACAGGGGGCTAGGACCGGGCGGGTGCGACCGGGGCCCAGGTAGGGGGGAGGGCACCAGGACGCGCTCCCACGCGAAACGCACTCACACACATGCACCAGCCACAGACACGTGCGCGCGCACGGCCAGCAGGGGTAAGAGGGCAGGGCTGGAGACCCAGCGATACACAATACCCAAGTGCACACACGACTCCCTAACTATGGACACACATACACTTGCGCCCGCACTCTGACTCACTGTACTGGGCTGGTGTGTGTGTATGTGTGTGTGTGTGCGAGCGCGCGTGTGTGCGCAGTGGGCTCAGTCCACCGGCCGGCCAAGGGGAGCATCTCCAAGTTGAGCCCCACGGGGCTGGGGTGAGGCCACCCCTCCCGTCCGGCCCGTTTCCTCGCCTCCCCCGCTCCCCCGGCCCCTGCACGGAGACAGGAGGAACCGGGACCGGCCAAGAGAGAGCTCTGGCTCCAGTGCCCGGCGGCGGCGGCGGAGGGCGCAGATGCAAACTTTGGGCCCCCAAGGCTCCAGGAATCCCGGCGCGGGACCAGCGCCCGGGCGCAGGTGACAGTGCGAGGGACTGGAGAGAGCGCGGGGCGGGGCGACCCACACCTGGAGCGCGAGTGTGCCCCGAAGTGTGACTGCTGGATGTGCGTGTTGAGTGCACGCGCCGGTGACGCCGGAGCCTAGTGGGGCGCGCGTGTGCTGGGAGGGGAATGAATGAACAGGGCGGCGAGAGCGTGTTCCCGCGAGTGACACGAGTGTGTGTATATGTGTGTGCGTGTGATGGCGCACACGCGGGGGCTCGGTCCCGCACGCAGCACCCCAGTTCCGCGCTGCAGGCGTTCTCGCTCGCCTGTCCTCTCTCCCCAGTTTCCGGCCCTCCCCGAAGGCTCGGGGTTATTTGGGCATAAAGGGGTTTTTGTTTGGTTTGTTTTTTTCTTTTTTAATTTCCTTACTCAGAATTTCCTCTTTCTTTGTCTTTTTGGTTATTGCTGCTTTTTTAGTTCAGAGAAGAAAAGAATCCCAGGGCGGTTGAGCAGGGTGTGCCGAGTAAACACGCAAGGAAGCCTCTTTCTCCTTAAAACAAACCTTTGCCTTATTTACCAGGGCAAGAAGTATTTGGAGCAGATTTGGGGGGGGGGCAAATCAGCAGATTCGAACCCTCAATACCCTTGCTCAGCTGCCCTCTGGAGCTCCAGGGTCGGGGGGGGCAGTAGTTTCCTGGGCATCCATCACCATCGAGTGGCCTGAAGACAGCTCCCCCCCCCCTTCTGGCCCCAGATGACACAATCAGGATTTCTGACTCTCACTGAATCAAAGATCCAGCATTGAAAAAGGGTCTTACAGGCCAGGAAGTCCAACTCCCTTATTTTACAGATAGGGAAACTGAGTCAAGAGAGGTTAAGTGGCTTGGTGACGAAGGGAGGATTTGAACAGACATCCTGACTCTTTCCACTGTACCACTATACTGCTTCTTTTTGCAATAAACCCTGATAGGAGGACCCTGTACTACCAACCCCCACCTCCTCTCTTGTGGGATTAGACCAGAAAGGACTGGAGTCCATTAGAACCCAGAATGGGCTAGCCCTTTTACTCCCAAGGGCTTCTGACCTGTTCTTGTGCTAGCTAAGGAGTCAAAGAGAATGCTGGGCAGGGGCTCCTGGTCCCTTCACTCTCTCCTCCCTCTCCCTCTCCCCCTGCCCCCATGTAGGTAAAAAGACCCAAGGGAATCCCTGGCCTGGCTCTGGTGAGGGGGATGTCATAGGACCTCACAGACCATCGAGTCCAATCCCCCTCATTTTACAGCTGATGAACCCGAGAGACTAAAAGACCTGCCTAAGGCAGTGTCAGTCAGGATTTGAACCCATATCTTCTGACTCCTAAGGAAGCCTCTTTTCACTATAGGACACTACCTCCTCTGACCTCTCTCCCTCCTTCCTAGACTCCTTCACACGGTGTCTCTTGGTGCAGCCCATCTATAAGAGGGTAGGGAGGGGAAAGAGTGGGCAGGGGACCCTCCTCCTCAGCCTGGGATGCTCGTCTCTCTAGAGATGTTTTCCTGTATATGCTCACTTTCTCTGCCCTAAAAACACAGATGGTGCAAGCCCCCAATACACACTTCTGTCTACACAAACACATTGCCTTCTGAATATGTAAGAAAGGCACTTGAGAAGACACAGATTCCTGCTGTGGCCCCTGTACACACACACACACACACACACACACACACACACACATGCACAGATGATGCCTCTGGTTTTCCCCGATCCAGCCCCGGTATCCTTCTTGCTGCTGGCGCCAAGCCCCCGGTCCCCAAACTCAGCTGTCTCCAGTCTCCCGATGCCCCTCTTGAACCGAGCTCCCACTCACTGCTCCCACTGTCATCTGAGGTGAGGAACACACCCTTCAGCTGATGCAACCAGCGGGCCTGATTTCCTATCTCTTCCATCTCATCACAGGACCAGGCTGTATTGTCCTCTCCTCCCACCTCCACATTCTCTGGGGAGAAGGGAACTGGTTCTCTTTGCTGACTCTTCGTGCCTCTCCCCACTCCCCACCTCTGAGGTCCCTGATGTGTCTGTTCATGGGCAGAAGATTCTGACTCTGCATCCCTGGGACCAGAGATGGAAGGGAAGGGAGACAAGGACCCTTCCCCTGGAAGGCCCTCCCCCTGTCTCCAGGGAGCCTCCCGAGGACCAGTAGAGAGGGCAGCACTTCACATCAGATATCACACTGAAAACTGGGAGGGACAGGTTTTTTTTTTTTAAATAAAGGTAGGGTAGTGGTTTACATCACATTTGCTTTGCATATTCTTTGTGTTTACTTACCGTGTACTTACAGTTCTCCCCCTCCCCAGTAGAATGTGAGCTGCCTGAGGGCAGGAATTGTTCTATTTTTGTCTGTGTCCCCATCACCTAATACACAGTAAATGGTAAATAGTGGGTGCTTAATAAACTCTTGTTTAACTGAATGCAACCAATCGATAAGCATTTATTAAACACCCACCAGATACCAAGCACAATGCTAAATGCTGGGGATGTAAAATCATAAATCAAATAGTCCCTGCTTTCAGAAAGTTTACTATTGGGGGGTGGGGCTGAATCAGAGAAGAATGTTAGAGCTGGAAGATGCTACCTAGTTGAACCCCATTTTACAGATGAGGAAACTGAGGCTGATTTGCCCACAATTCTACCCTTTTTTGGAGGGGGAGGTGGAAGTGGGGCCCAAGGGGAAGGGTCTCTTCTCTACCTATCCCAGGACCTCTCTCCTTCCCCATTTCTGTCTCCTTCTCTCTTGGTGCACCTATTCCCACAGGGTGAAGGCCCACAGTTCAGCCTCCCTCTGTTCTTGCTGAGGCAGCTTCCGAGGGAGATGGCGTTGGCCTATTTTTGCAATTTACTTTTATTTATATTTTGTAAAGGGAGGTGCCCAGAGAAGCCCTGGGGCAAGGGTGTTGGAGAATTACAATCCACTCTTTCTCCTACATTTTCCTTATTATTTTCTCCCTCCTTCCCCCTGCCCCTCCCCATGTTCCCAATTTCTTCAGTTCCAAGCAGTTTTGCATGGAATCCCAGATCCCTGGAGTCGCATTGTCTCCATCTCTGTACCCACCATCTCTCTCCTGACTCAATGTCACCTGGCTCCCTGATTTCCTCCAGCAGGTACCTTACAGGTGCCTTACCTTAGCTCTTACTAGAGAAAGAGTCAAGGGAGGAGGAGGTACCCAAGGGCCAGGGCAAGAGGAGGCCCCAGTCCTGCTGTTAGGACAAGACCTCGGGGAAATTGCTTCCCTTTTCTGGGGCTCTGTTTCCTTTTCTGTAACATGAGGGAGTTGACATGATCTATGAGGTAACCTCCCAGCCCTAAATTCCAAGATTCCATGACTAGGCTGGGGTAGGGAGCAACTGGGAACCAGGGCTAAAGAGACACTTGTAATTATTTATCTGCTTCCCAGGCCACTACGGCAAGACCCCAAACAGCACCCTAATGAGAGGATTTCTCAATGGCAGGCTTTTACACACATACACACACACACACACACACACACACACACACATGCAAACATACTTCTGTGAGCTTCAGTTTATCACTGGGCACCAGGAACCAGGAACCAGGGCACCCTGATTCAAGAACTCAGCACCCTTAAAGACTCGTACACGGGACAAGTACCTCTCTTCCCCGAGCCCCTCGGGGAAAAAAGCATCCAAGGAGACTGCCCGAATGTAAACAGAATGTAGAATTGGATATGTGTTGAGCAGAAAGGGTGCTTCTAGTGAGAAATATGCACACAGAGAGGTGCCAGAGGAAGAATGTGGTGTATAGGTGTGGGTTCAGATTAATCTCAGACACTTAGTAGTCGTGTAACCCTGGGCAAGTCACTGCCTCTCTGTGCCTCAGTTTCCTCATCTGTAAAAATGAGCGGGTTGGACTTGATGGTCTCTAAGATTCCTTCCAACCACAAATCTATGATCTTATGAAATCACCTTCATGAAACACAAGCCTTATCATGTTGCTTTCCTGGCTTCCTTCGAGTCCCAGGCAAAATCTCACCTTTTACAGGGAGCTTATCCTAACTGCCCTTAATTCTAGTTTTTCCTCTGTTGATCATCCCCTATTTATCCTGTATATAGTGTGTTTGTATGTAGTTGTTTGCTTTTTGTCTCCCCCATTAGATTGTAAGCTTGTTGAGGACAGTGACTGTCTTTTACCTCTTTCAGATTCCCCAGCACTTTAGCACAGGGTCTAGTATACAGCAGACACTTAATAGATACTTATTTACTACTGACCGCTCAAGAACTTTCTATGGCTCATTATTCCTTCTAGGATAATATATGAGATACTTGGCTTGGCATTTAAAGCCCTTTGAATTCTGATGCCAGCTGACCTTTCCAGTCCCCCTCACCATTTCTCTATTTTATTTATTCATTTAATTTATTTAATTCATTTTCATTATTTCATTTCACTTCTTTTACGCACCTTACATTTGAGCCAAACTGGCCTACGCTGTTACCTGGTCTCAGAACTCCATCTCCTGCCTCTATGATCTTGAGCCGGCCGGCCCCCATGCCTGGTAAGCTTGTGTGTCTTGCCTTCATTTCCACCTGGCTTCATTCGAGGCTCAGGTCATTTGCTGATGCCCACTGGAAACCTCTGCCATTCCCCCAGCTGTTATTACTTTCTTCCCCTTCCTCAAAAAAAAAAAAAGATCCCCACACTTTTACTTTTTTGTTTACAGGTTGCATCCCTGCTAAAATATAAGCTTTTTAATGCCAAAGGCTGTTCTGTCTTTGCATGCCCACAGTAGATGCCTATTAAATGCTCACTGGATTGGATTGTAGAGAGACACATCAATCAAGCACCGAGCATTTATTAAACACCTCCTATGTGCCAGGCACTAGAATCTATGGACCAAGGCCCCGTGTTGATCCTAGAGGTGCTCTCCCAGGTTTCACAGTGGACAGTCCAAATGTGCTGGCTATGAAATTCAAAGACCTGGATTCAAATCCCTGACCTGCCACTCAACCTGGGACAAAGGACTTCCCTTTTCTGGGCCTCAGTTTCCTCATCTATAAATGAAGGAACTAAACTAAATGGCCTATAAAGTCCTTCCCAGATTTAGAGAAACTTCTGTATGTATACAGTTTATTTGTACAGATTCACCAGTGAGTGGTCTTCCCATTAGACTGGAAGCCCCCTGAAGGCAGGGACTGGCTTTTGCTTTTCTTTCTTTCTTTCTTTCTTTCTTTCTTTCTTTCTTTCTTTCTTTCTTTCTTTCTTTCTTTCTTTCTTTCTTTCTTTCTTTCTTTCTTTCTTTCTTTCTTTTGTTCTTTCTTTCTTTCTTTCTTTCTTTTTTGGCTAGGCAGTGGGGTTAAGTGACTTGCCTAGGGTCACACAGCTAGTAAGTGTTAAGTGTCTGAGGCTGCATTTGAACTCAGCTCCTCCTGACTCCAAGGCCACCTAGCTGCCCCGACTTTTGCAATGCCTGGTGCCTAAGACTTGCTTACTGACTTAACTGACTAATCCTCTGATCCTGTGTGATGAGGGCAGGGCAGAGGGCCTTTCTCTGGTCAGGAGCTGGAAGGACGGAGCTTCCATTCCAGTGGCCCAGATGAGACCGAGATGATTAACTCCTCACTAATGCAGGGGCCCTTGTGAGAAGGCTTAGGACTAGGAAGGCATTCGTTTGGAAGGCAGAAGAAGAGAGAGAGAGGGGGAGAGAGAGACACAGAGATGAGAGGGACAGTGAGAAGAGAGAGGTAGACAGAGACAGAGGGAGGGAGACACAGGGTTGGAGGGAAACATGAGAGACTGAAAGATAGGGAAGGGGGAGGAAAGAAGAGAGGTAGACAGAGAGGGAGAGAGAGATGAGAGAGACAGACAGAGATAGAAAATGAGAGAGACAGAGATAGAGGGTTAGAATACAGAAATAGAGAACAGCACATTAGGCTTGAAGTCCAAAAGAGCCGACTTCGAATAACACCTCCGACACTTACTACTGTGTCTCTCTGAGCAAATCACTCAACATATCTGGGTCTTAGTGGCCTCGTCTTCAAATGAGGTGAAGCTGAAATATGCCCCTCACCTCCTGCCCAAGTGATGAGCTTAAAAAGCATAGAGAAAGACAGACACTTTGGGGCCTGGACAATGTGGGGATTTGTTTTCTTTTTCTTTTTTGTCCAGTTAGGGGAAGTGATGGGAGGGATCGATGATAAATTCATGTAAAATAAATACAATTACTTTTAAAGCATTAAATGAGGGGGCTGGCCTTCATGACTTCTAAGCTCTAAATCTATGATTTTATGATTCCATTTAGTACATCTTGTCGAGTGGATAGGGTGTCAGGCTCGGAGTCAGGAGGACCTATCTTCTCGAGTTCAAATCTGACCTTAGACACTTACTAACTGTGTGACCCTGGGCAAGTCACTAAAGCCTGCTTGCCTCAGCTTCCTCATCGGTAAAATGGGCTGGAGAAGGACATGACAAACCACTTCAGTATCTCTGCCAAGAAAACCCCAAATGGGGTCGTGAAGAATCAGACAACACTGAAAAATGACCAAATAACAGCTTTATTTTACAGATGAGCAAACTGAGCCCCAGACAGAAGAAGTGATTTGCCCACGACCACACTATTAAGTCACTGAGGCTGAATTTGAACTCAGATCTCCTGATTTCTGCTACACTTCTGGGGGAATGGAGGGAAGGACAGTCAGAGAACCCTGTCAGAAGGACTGACTCTCAGAACAGGGAGGGGTCTCAAGGAACTAACAGCAGCTCTGGAGGCGACCCTGGGCAGCAATGGTTCTAGAGAGCTCTGTGGGGAAGTCCTTCCTTGCGTCAAGCTGAAGCCTACATCTCTGCCATTTCAGCTCGCTGTTTCTAGGCCTGTCCTCTAGCCAAGGCCCCACGGGAGAGATGGGGCAGGCTCAGACCAAAGCTCCGGGGAGACAGAGGCTGAGAGCAGGATGGATTTGACCTTGTCTGCCCGGGGATCTGTTCCATGACTAAAAAGGTAGTGCTGGTGGGGGGGGGGTAGAGAATCTCTGGGGAAAGGACAGGCACTAATATCGGGCTAGCTTTATGTATTTATACGCAGAAGGTGGCTAAAAGACCGAGATCTCAGGGCTGAGATTTAGAAAGAACTCCAGGAGAGGGGAGGGAGACAGGGCCATGGCGTCAGACCTGGAACCGCAGGGGGCGTGTGAAAGGGGTGTCTGTGTGTGGACCAAGCTATTGAGGGAGGAGCCCAGGGACAAGGAACCCCTCGAAGCCACATCCCGAGGCCACCTAGGCTTTCCTCTGAGAACGCCATGAAAGAGGGCTGGATGTGGAGTCTGCGGTTTTGGGTTCAAATTTCACCTCTGCCATTTACTATCACTGACCCTGGGCAAGCCACCTCATATTTAGGACTCAGTCTTCTGATCTGTAAAATGAAAGAGTCAGACCAGATTCACCTCTAAAATTTGTTCTTTGGGAACCCCTGCTCTGCACTTAGACCTAGTCAACAAGATCTCACTGTGTACTAGGCGGTGTGCAAAGAGTTGGGGATACAAAGAAAACCCCTCTCCCCTAAAAAAAACCCAACCAAACAAAAACCCCGCTCTTACTCTGAAGAAGCTCGTGGTTTCATGGGGGATACAACAGTCGCAGTTGGGCAAGATTCTCCTACCTTGCGATCCTGTCCCATATATCAGTCCAACCAGTGGAGAGGGCTTGACGGACCCCAAGCCCAACGCTGGCATTCCTGACCCTGGGGCCATGGCCAGAGCCACAAGGCCCTTCCACCCCTGCAGACCCCCGAGTCTCAGGCCAGCCAGTGGGAGGAGAAACATGGGCACAGAACCCAAGCCCACCCACTCGGGGAGCCGCACCAGCCAGTCCCTGGGAAACTTTCCCCAACTCAGCTGCTGGTATTGGCTCTAGTTCACCCAGCACCCCCAGAGTTTGCCCACTCACCCTCCCTCCCGAGCCCGGGGCCTTCTCACTCCACAACCTGTTTACACACCAGGGTATCTCCCGATTTATCTGCTCTCATTTTTGAATTTGTAACTTTCACATAAAGTGGAACAAAGCCTCTTTTGTTCTCACACCCCACCCCAAGATCCCAATAAACTGGTTCCCTTCGAAGTTGTCCGGGCTGGGGCATGGGAGTCTGGGCAAAAAAATTGCCTGTGAGCCACTGTGTACAAGCGTGTTGGCACCTGTGTGGGAGTGTGTGCAGTAGGCTGTGGGATGTGTGAGTGTGCCCTCGCTAGACAGGGCTGTTGATGAGGGTGCCATGGAAAAGGTGCAAATATGGTAATGGTGGGTATGTGTGTCCACAGCTCGATTCCTATGGGCGGTGTAGTGGGGAAAAAAAAGGAAAAAAAGAAAAAAAATGAAAGTCACAGAGGTCTTCTGCTCTGACCCTCTCATTTACAGACGAGGAAACTGAGGCACAGAGATAATGTCAAACCAGTGACTCTAAATCCAAGGCTCTTTCCCACTCTCCCAGGGACTGAAGCTCACAACCTTGGCCTGGTATGTCTCTGGTTCTGGGGAATCTCGAGATGCAGAAGAAATGATGCCCACAGTAGTGTCAAGAAAAGGGGGTAAGGAGCGGATAGAGAGGAAACAGAGGAAGAGGAAGCGTCGGCAGAAATGGGTCCACAGATCAGGCGGGGGAATGAGGGGCTGCAGGCCACTTTAAGTGTGAGGCAGACACAGGGATTGCATTATGGTAGGAGCCGGGGCTGGCACAGCCGAACGATCGTCCCCATAATCCTGTTAGCCAGCAATCTCCATTCCGAAAGAGCTTCATTTCTTTGTGAATATTTGTAAACTAGATATCTAATGGAAAATTATAGGAAAATTATAGTGAAATTCATGACGGAGAAATCCGATTATCCCTAATTCAATTATGCCATCTTAGCCCACACAGCACATTCCCCATTTTTTTCCCATAAATACCGATGCCAGGGGTCCCGGTAATCAAATAAAATTGAAAATCATCTTCCCATTAAATTCAATTAGCCGCAATTTCTAAAGCCTATCAGAGATTTTAATTACTAAATTATAAAATTCTCCAATGCTAAATTGAAACCAAAAAAATTGCACATCCTTATATTTCAGAGGAAAGAAAAAAAAAAAGGACAAGCCAAATCCTTGAAAAATGCCCTCAGTACCCGGTTCTAGAGTAGGCTCTCTATTTGAGGAGCTTACCACGACTGCCCTACTCTTGGGAAGACAGACTGAAACCCAAGCCATAGCAAGGACCCTGGAAGAGGGAGGGGTCGAGGCGCTGATCAGAGCAGGAAACCACACCTCCATCTAATGACAATCAGGTTAGTAGGGTGACAGCTTCAGAGATCTACCTCCCCCACCCTTAGCTAGAACACACACACACACACATAACACGGCAGGGGTGGTCTGGCTCCTGGAGCTGCTAACCACCACTCCCAACCCCCTCCAACTGTTTCCAACTGTATCCCTGACCAAAGGCTTTTCCTGGCCCTCACTGGAGGGGTGGTGCCCATGTGGGTAGCCTGGTGGGGCCCAGTACTGGAGGAAAGGCCTGTTAGAGCATCTAGATTAGCCAGCCAGAGGGCCTGACCCATAAATGTGCCTAAGGGCAGGCAATGTAGCCTTAACCTACTTGAAGACCTGTGCTGGGTGTTCGGGAGGTGAGGCAGGGATGGCGTGCTTTTTCCTTGGAAGCAGGTATGCCCACTAAGAGTGCGGAAAGGCTGAGCTCATTAGCCTGGTTGGGCTGGGGAAGGGGGGCTCTGGTTTTGAATCTAAGGGGTGTGGCAGAAGGAGATCTTTAAGGGAATGTGACCAGGGCAAAGGAGCAGTGGTCCTCTCCATCCACACAAGGCAATGCCTGGTCCTAGGACCCACCCCTCTCAGCTAGTGTCTTAATGACTTTGGTGGGGGTAAGGGTAGGGATACAAGAGGGTCGGGGCCTGGTGTGGGAGACAGGCAGGCAGCAGGGCTATAATACAGAATGAAGCCTGGGACACAGAGCAGCCTTTGCTTTCCTCTAATGGGCACCAACCCTGGCAGGGAGTCAGGCGGGCAGGTGAGCCGGGCAGCCCCAGGTAGGCATGCCCTCATTCTCTGTCTCTCCAATGGCTCCTTCACTTGCAAAGCCTTCCGGGGAGGCCAACAGCCCTGACCTACCCAACACAGGTGCCCCAGCCCCGAGAGAGGCTCCCTCTCCTGCCCCCCCCATCACCCCAACCGTGCCAGCCTTCTAGCCCCAAACAGCAGCCCCCACCCAATCCCGCCCGCCACATGCCACTTACCCCAATGTTAAAGGGTGCCCGGGTCCCCGGGGCTTGGTTCAGGCAGCATCCACAGGGGCATGAGGGTGCGACCCAAGGACCGCAACCTGAAACGGGGAGGTGGGTGGGCGTCCGGGCAAGGGGGCAGCTGGCGGCCCTGGCAGTTTCGGGGCAGTCAGCAAGCGCTGCACCAGCGGCCGTGCATGCAGGGAGCAGGCTTAATTTGCCAGGCAGCCGGGAGTGCCAGAAGGGGAGGCGCCACAAACAAAACAAAAACAAAAAAAGTTAATTATCTTTGGCTTTTTCTTAATAAATATCCAAACTGGCCCGGCCGGATTCTCCGCTTTGGAGCGAAAGAAGGAGCAGGAAAGAGCCCCAAACCAGAGGCGGGCACCGTCGCCCTGGCTGCCTCCTGCCTGCTCCGGGGCTCCCTCGCCCTCTGCCTCTCCCCTCCTCGACAGACAGACGGATGCAGACATTCTGGTCTCCCCTGTGTGCCCCAGCTCTGCAGCAGCCACAAGGTGCCAAGCTGGGGCTTCTCCCTCCCCCAACCCTCCTTTCTGTGCTCCTGAAGGAAGGTGGGAAAGGTAGAGGAAGACAGCCCGAGAGCCAGAGAGTGAGAACCAGAGACACACAGGCAGAGAAAAAGAGAGGCCCAGAACCAGAGAGATTTTGTGTGTGTGTGTGTGTGTGAGAGAGAGAGAGAGAGAGAGAGGGAGGGAGAGAGAGAAGAGAGAGAGAGAGAGAGAGGAGGAGAGAGAGAGAGAGAGAGAGAGAGAGAGAGAGAGAACCAGAGACACACAGGCAGAGAAAAAGAGAGGCCCAGAACCAGAGAGATTGTGTGTGTGTGTGTGTGTGTGTGTGTGTGTAAGAGAGAGAGACAGAGAGAGAGAGAGAGAGAGAGAGAGACAGAGAGAGAGAGAGAGAGAGACAGAGAGAGACAGAGACAGAGAGAGAGAACCAGAGACACACAGGCAGAGAAAAAGAGAGGCCCAGAACCAGAGAGATTGTGTGTGTGTGTGTGTTGTGTGTGTGTGTAAGAGAGAGAGACAGGAGAGAGAGAGAGAGAGAGAGAGAGAGACAGAGAGAGAGAGAGACAGAGACAGAGACAGAGACAGAGACAGAGAGAGAGAACCAGAGACACACAGGCAGAGAAAAAGAGAGGCCCAGAACCAGAGAGATTGTGTGTGTGTGTGTGTGTGTGTGTGTGTGTGTGTGTGTGTGTGTGTGTGTGAGAGAGAGAGAGAGAGAGAAGAGAGAGACAGAGACAGAGAGAGAGAGAGAGAGAGAGAGAGAGAGAGAACCAGAGACACACAGGCAGAGAAAAAGAGAGGCCCAGAACCAGAGAGATTGTGTGTGTGTGTGTGTGTGTGTGTGTGTGTGAGAGAGAGAGAAAGAGAGAGAGAGGACCAGAGCCCAGCTGGCGTCACACTGCCCCTGTAGGCATGGCTAGGGCCTGTGGCCTAAGCCCGGGCAGGGAATCAGGCTGCAATGGTGTGTTGCCATTTTATTACAATTATGACTCTCAGTAGCAGGAGATACAGGGATCTGTCTTTTTTAAACTCTGAAGTCATCCTGGTCTTTTGGGCCCCTCTAGCTACCCTGGCGTTTCCTGTCTTGGTGCCAGCCCTGTACTCTGGGAGCCTGGCAGGTGAAGAGAAGTCCGGGGGGGAGGGGCAGGGAGTTGCCCCCTTTAACTTGGGATCTCCTATTTGGGAAGTGGACTCGGGGAGAGGGCCGGTCTTGTGCCAGAGGCCCGCGCCCACAAATCTAAATGTGTGCTTGTATGCACAAGGTAGGCTATGGGGTGGGGGTGGGGTGGTGCATATAAGCCAATAGGCAGGCACACATGTGCATCCCATCATGGATCTCTCTCTGGCTCTGGGCCAGCAGCTGCGTGGCGTGGGGCTCATGCATGTATTCACAAACTGGTATTTCTGGGCATGACGCTGCCATGGGCACATCCCTGGGTAGGTGTGCACAGGCAGCAACACGCATGTCAGTCTGTTCATGGGTACTTGTACAGACATGTTATCAAGCTGGCAACCATCTCCAGGGTGTACAGCCCAAGCCTTCTAGGAGCTGGCAGAAACTTGGATGGGGCCAGTGGGATGGGAGGGAGGCCCCACGTCCATCCCTCTTCTTCCCTCCCCTGCTGCTGGCCCAGGTCTCTGGAGAGGGGGCTGCCCAGTGTGGCCAGTGGACGTCTCAGCTCTCCACTTTTCTTGTCTCACGGAGCACTCATATTTTCTGTGTGCAGCAGACCATGAATTCACCTTCATACCAGTTACAGGGTTATTTAGCTTCTCCTGACACCAATAATCGCCAAACTTTAATTCGGTGCCTGGCTTCTCCTTGAGACACCCTCTGTCCACCTTGTGGGATTGCTTTCCCCTCCACCCCTCAAAATCCTCCTGGCAGGGTGGGGGCAGCTAGACCCCTCGGCTCCTGCCCCCAGATCTCTGCCGTGCTAACCAGGGAGGGGGGAGGAGCGGAGCAATGAAAAGACAGGGGAGCTTGGGAGGGATGGAGGGAGATGGGGAAAGGGAGACTGGGGTTGGGGGTGGCCGTGGAGAAGAGGCAGTTAGGAGGCAGGATGGTGTTTGAGGCTAACAGGGGTTTCCCACCCTGTTCCTTCATGCCTGACTAACGTATTCATCCCGGCAATTCATCCTTTAGGATGAAGGCTGAGCTAATTGGACTGCTGGTTTGAGGAAGAGTCACCAAGGCCAGGGCAGAAAATTAATTAATTTAATAATAATAATAGTACTAGCAGTAATAGTACTAATAACAGTAATCATAACTACTAGCATTTACGAAGTGTTTTACACATATTGTCTCATTTGATTCCCACAATAACCTTTTAAGGTGAGTGCTGCGATCATCCCCATTTTATAGATGGGGAAACTGAGGCTGAAAGAGGTGAATGAGAGGCAAGATTTAAACCCAGCTCCAGACTTTCCTACTGCACCCCTCTTTTGGGCCTGATCCTTGCTGGTTGCTGTGGTCCTGCCTGTTCCCGGATCGCAAGACCCTGGAGTCTGAAGGGTTCTTGAGGACAAACAAGTCGGAGCCACATTTTTTACAGATGAAGACACCAAGGCCCAGCAAGGGGAAAGTGCCCCACCCAAAGTCACAAAGGGTCTAACCAGCAGAACTGGGATTCAAACCCAGGTCCTCTAGCCCCCAAATCTAGTATCATTTCCACTTGGAACACACCTGCCTGCTCACCAGCAAGCCTGCCCGGGTCACCTTCCCTTATCCAGCCTCCAGCCCCTGCTGAGGACCGTCCACGCCTGGTCTCTGCTGTCTACAGCCACCCTCTCCTCCAGACCCAGAGGGATCTGCTCTGCCCCACTGGCTGGGCCTCCCCTGGGCATATCTATCACCACTCCCTCTGTCCTTGGTGTGCGCCCAGCTGTGATTGTCCCCTTCCCCGTGGCCGTCCCCTAAAGCCAAGGGAAACTCAACCCCTCCCTGCTCCTGGAATCACAAGCCTTCAGAGCTGGAAGGACCCTCAGAGGGAACTGAGGCCCAGGGGAAGGGCCTTG